GGGGCAGGGGCTACGATGAACAGGGTAACGGCATGCCAGCGAGTAGACCTGAATACTGACAAGAATGTTTGCGCAGCTCTCTCTTGAATACATGGACAGAAGATTCCGAAGTCAATGTGGGTGGGAGACAATTCCATAAAAGGGAGGTTTTGAATAAAAAACTTTTTAAAAGTGATTTGGATGTTGTCAAGGCTTTGGGGAGGATAATTTTGTTGGAGCGTCTCTCACTACGGGAAATATTAAAACTGAACTGAGCCAAGGTGTTCCGGTATTTGAAAATAAACTTGTGCAATGTAACTAGGCTAATGAATTGTCTACGGTACTGCAGTGATTCTAGTTTGGCGAATGCGTTCAGATCTTGCTTTGGCGTGTCGAAGGCAAAATCGAAACTTACGCCGTCGCAAGTACGACCTGATGAATCTTGCTTGGAGTTTGTCTAGCTCACACAAATCAGAAGCAGGTAGCCGGTACGCCCACACCACAACACCATACTCTATAACGGGTCGAACGTAGCTCTTGTAAAGGAGCATCATGGCTTTGGGAGTAAGGCGCTGGGCCATGTAACATAGCAACGTAATCCTCTGTTTGAATTTTCCACTCATATCTATGTAATGCTGGTGGAAGTTCAGATTAGCGGTGAAGCGAATTCCCAGATGTTTCAGCACATCGGTACCGTTGAGAGGAGCCCCATCTATTTTGTATGCTGCAGCTGTGGACGGCGATACCGACTTGTAGGAAAAGCTGATGACAGTGGTTTTCGATGGGGAAAACTCGCCTCCTCTAGCTCGAGCCCAGGTTTGGCACGCTTGTATATCGGCTTGCAGTGCTGGGCTGGACGGAGTGTGTTCGTATGGGTGGAGTAAAGTCACATCATCCGCAAACAGGAAGGTATGGGAATGCATTATGGTAGTAGGTAGGTCATTAATGTAGATTAAGAACAAGAGAGGTGATAAATGTGAGCCCTGCGGCACACCACAGTTGGTGATCTTCGGTAACGATGTGCATGGCCCAACTTGTACCGCTATCTGTCTGTCCTGCAAGTAGCTCCGTATCCATGCAGTGACTTTGGGGTCTGAGAACCTACCGATCTGATCAAGGAGAGTGGAGTGGTTTACTCTGTCGAAGGCTTTGCAGAAGTCGAGGGACACTAAATCGAAATTTGACTTCTTGTCAATGTAGCATGCCATATATTGCGTTAGAATAACCAGCTGGTCTGTGGCGGATTTGTCTTTCACATAGGCGAATTGTTCACTGCATATTTTCTCTGTTGCGCTGAGGTATGTCTGGAGCTGATTGGCGACTAGTTTTTCAAATAGTTTTGCGATGCATGGGAGAAGGGATATTGGACGATAATTCGTTGGCTGAGTTGGGCAGCCTCTCTTCTTGAAGATGGGGATGATTGTTGCAATTTTCCAAGCCTTGGGACACACACCTTGTTCCAGACTGTAGTTGAACAGGATGGCCAGAGGCGTACAAAGAAGATCCGCACATTTGCTGAGAACAGAGTTTGTGCATCGCAATACATGCACCACGACATAAACTTGAGCCTCAGTTGAGGTTCTTCAACAACATTCGAGATTGCCCACAACCATACTGTCAATCAAACCTTTCGTTCAGTTGATGTAGGGGCAAGAGAAAATGCCTACGAACAAAAGAGGTTCAGTATCTTGCAATATACCCTATCTTGTGGATGTAACATTTCGCTGTTGACAAAAGGAAGTTTTCTATCCGAGGTCCGAGGAGAGAGAAAGAGATTATCCTGTTCCCAAAATTATGATATGAAACCGATGTGAGAGGTGGATTAGTTCCGAAGTGTTTGGAATAGCTAGGTCGAGATGGCCGATCTGATCTGATGTCATTGCCGCCATGACAATTCCACTCCCATCGGATGAGGTTGTGTAGTTTCGAGGAGTTTCGTTTTCTGAAGAGACCAATAAGGCCACCACCTGTTCGGAAAAACGAAACTCCTCGAAAAGTCAAAGAGGGACCATTCGAACGCGCCCTTAGTCCGAGCTTGATTGGTGTAGTGTAGA